GGCACACAGTCTTCGCGCATGGTAAGGTTGAGCGACATTCCCGAGGGTACCCTTGCATCCTTGCCTATTCGGCCTAGCCTTAGGCAATCCTTCGCTCAAATAGCTACAAACTGGGCATCCAAGGGGCTTGCATCCTTCCCGCGCATCTTTACGCGCATCTTTAGTATACGCGTTGACTGTATCTTCTCTCAGGAGCCGTAGCTGGCGGTCAATATCGGTAAACCTAAGAAGTCAATGTGGATCATGCAAAAATTGTTGTGCACACGCAACTGCCGTTCTTGATCGGGCTCGTGCTCTGGGAAATGGCCTTTAAAGCGGCGACGTGCTGCGAGGAGCAAGTTGGGTCCGACACCATAGCGCAGCCATCCCGCACTGTGCAGGTGAATTCTTGTGTGCACTTATGCAGGGCAGGGCGACCTTGGTCTAGGCCGTTCCTCTCTCCTTCGTTGCTTGCCTCGCCGCAGTATTCGGATGAAACTAGGGCCCTCTATGTGTGGGCGAAGATGTTGGCCTCGTAGCCTTCCAGGTGCTGTCTATCACCCAGCGGCAGCCGCCCTGCGGTTTAGCGTCGAGCTGGTACTCCAGTCTGGCACTCGCAGCGCTGCCATCCTCAGATCATGATGCACGGGAGCGATTTGATTGACGCACTGGCTTCTGCAGGAGACTGTTTTTGGTAAGGGTCCTGCGATACCCCTCGTCATCGGGCCTGCCCTCCCCGCCTCCACCCAGGATACCTTGACCTTGCCGGTTACGCAGGTCCTTCGGGGTACGCAAAATCGGTGCGCGCGGGCATTCGTAGGGTGCCCAAATCGAGAAGGCTCGGTGATCGGCTTGCACCTCCCCGCTCCGCCCCCCACTGGAGTGCGCATGTACGTCGTTGCCGTCGTCGTTAAGCCAGGCTTCTGCTCCGTCTCGGCGGTCTCTTGCTGACTCTCGCTTGCCGCCCTCGGGGACCGGGGGTTGTCGCCGCTGCCGCCGTCGACGTGGCCGTCGCGGTCGCTGGCAGTGTAGCCAGCGTCGTCGTACAACGTCGCATGGGGAGGAGGAGGAGGAGGAGGAGGAGGAGGAGGAGGAGGATGAGGAGGAGGAGGAGGCGGAAGATGAGGAGGGAGGAGGAGGGAGAGGAGGAGGAGGAAGGGAGGAGAAGGAGGGAAGGAGGAGGGAGGAGGGAAAAGGGGAGGAAGGAGGGAGGGAGGAGGAGGAGGAGGAGGGGAAGAGGAGAGGGGAGGTGGAGGAGGTGGAGGAGGAGGAGGAGGAGGAGGAGGAGGAGAGGAGGGAGGAAGGAGGAGGAGGAGGATCGGAATGCCCCCCCCCCCCCCCACACCCAGGGCGCGATCGGCTCGGGCGGGGAGCAATGGGCACCGTGCTTTGCGTGGATGGCCACCTCTTCCTCTTTCTCCTCCTTCCTTCCTCCTCCTTCCTTCCTCCTCCTCCTCCTTCCCCTCCTCCTCCGCCTCGTCCTCCCTCTTCCTCCCTCCCATGGAGGTGATGAGTATCAGGATGGGGACGATTATCATTCTGATTAGAATGAGGATGCTTGTGCGGCTGATGATGCTGATGCTGATGCCGCAGCTGCTGCTGCTGATGCTGCTGCTGCTGCTCATGATGATGCTGATGCTGATGCTGATGATGATGCTGCGGATGATGATGATGATGATGATGATGATGATGATGATGATGATGATGATGATGATGATGATGATGATGATGTTGATGCTGGTGCTGATGATGATGATGCTGATGATGCAGCTGCTGCTGCTGATGATGATGATGCTGATGATGATGATGATGATGATGATGATGATGATGATGATGATGATGATGATGATGATGATGATGCTGCTGATTATGATCATGATGATGCTGCTGATGATTATGATGGTGATGACGATGCTGTTGCTGATGATGCTGATGATGAGGCTGCTGCTGTTGCTGCTTCTGATGCTGATGCGGAGGCTGGCTGCAGTGACGATGAGGGCTGCTGGTGATGGTTGTGGACGGGGAGGTGCACGGGCGAGGAGGAGGAGGTGGAGGTGGAGGAGGTGGAGGAGGAGGAGGAGGAGGAGGAGGAGGAGGAGGAGGAGGAGGAGGAGGAGGAGGAGGGAGGAGGAGGAGGAGGAGGAGGTGGAGGAGGAGGAGGAGGAGGAGGAGGAGGGGAGGCCTCGGGGTGCGTTCTGGCCGCTGCGCCTCGCGGCTGGCGCCCCTGGGCTGCCGGGACGTCCTCCCCGCACGGCCGGCCGCCGGAGGCCCGAGCTTGCTGGTGGCACCGGGCCGGTCCCTCTACAGGAGGAGAAGCCAAGAATAGTCAAGCAAGAGTCTGGGGATTTTTCCCAGCGTTCTCTCTCTCTCTCTCTTTCTCTCTCTCTCTATATATATATGTGGGGCATTCTTGGGGTATTTCTGATGGTTGAACCGGGCCTGTCCCTCTACAGGAGGAGTATCCAAAAATAGTCTCTGGACGCCCGAAATGGGTACTGAAAGAATGGGTAGTATGCCCAACAGCGGATCTTGTTCATTTTGAACAGGGCTCGCTGTCCACGCCGCCGCGGCCTGTGTCCATTCGAGACAGGAGGCCGCCTGCCCAACAGCGGCCGCTGTTGGTTTGGGACAACATTTGCTGTTGGGCATTGTACCCATTTTTTGGGTACCCATTTCGGGCGTCCAAATAGTCAAACAAGAGTTCGGGGATTTGTTCCAGCATCGTATATATATATATATATATATCAATATCTATCTATATCCCTCTCTCTCTATATATATATATATATATAGATATATAGGTGGGCATTCTTGGGGGCATTTCAAACTTTTCGTTCAAAACCTTTGCTTACGCGGACGTGCTCGACCGAAGGCTGTGGCCAGAAAACCCAGGGGGATGGGGCTCGGGGAGGGACGCCTCGAACCCCCCCCCCCGATCGCCCATTCGTCGCCGACGGGGGCCCCGCGGCCCAGCCCCGACGAGAATCTTGCGCGTTCGCTGCCGGGGGCCAGTGGCCGCTCTCTCGGCGCCGCGTCGCCCACTCCGGGCCGAGGCGCCCCCGCCTGACGGGGCAGCCCACGATGCGATTCGGTGGGACCGCGACTGTGCTTCGATTCCGTTCGGCTCGACTCAACGGCAGCGGGTGGGGCCTGCTGGAGCCGAGCGCGGCGATTCGATTTCAATCCGATTCGGGACGGGCTCCCCGGAAGTCCCGAAGCCTTTCCCCCCGGGGACCGTTCATCCCGAACCGTTTTCTTCACGGCCCCGAACCCCGGCGAGGGCCCCCGGAGGCTGCAAGCGGCCCGAAACCCTCCGCCCTGCTCCTACACGACGCGAGCAGGCCTGGATCTATCGATTGTGCTCATATCTTGCTCTGGATATCCCAGGTAGGGTCCGAGTAAGCGTGGTCGGAGGGTCGCGCCGCATTGCTGATGCACCGCCGATGCCTCGCCGGTCGGCTCGCTGTGGGGACCCCTTCTCTCCGCGCTGGCGTCGCCGAAGTTCCGCCGGCGCCGCCGATGCATCGCCGACGACGACAATGTCGTCGTCGTCGCCGTCGTCGTCGTCGTGGTCGCCGTCTCCGTCGTCCATGTCGTCCATGCCGTCGTCGTCGTCGTCGTCGTCGTCGTCGTCGTCGTCGTCGTCGTCGTCGTCGTCGTCGATGTCGTCGTCATCGTCGTCGTCGTCGTCGCCGCCGTCGTCGTCGTCGTCGTCGTCGTCGTCGTCGTCGTGGTTGCCGTCTCCGTCGTCCATGTCGTCCATGCCGTCGTCGTCGTCGTCGTCGTCGTCGTCGTCGTCGTCGTCGTCGTCGTCGTCGTCGTCAGCGTGGTGGCCGTTTTCGTCGTCCATGTGGTCCATGATGTCGTCGTCTTCGTCGTCGTCGTCGCCGTCGCCGTCTCCGTCGTCCATGTCGTCCATGCCGCCGTCGTCGTCGTCGCCGTCGGTCGTCGTCGTCGTCGTCGTCGTCGCCGTCTCCATGTCGTCCATGTCGTCCATGACGTCGTCGTCGTCGTCGTCGCCGTCTCCGCCGTCCATGTCGTCCATGCCCTCGTCGTCGCCGTCGTCGTTGTCGTCGCCGTCGTCGCCGTCGCCGTCGCCGTTGCCGTCGCCGTCGCCGTCGTCGTCGTCGTCGTCGCCGTCTCCGTCGTCCATGTCGTCAATTCCGTCGTCGTTGTCGTCATCGTCATTGTCGTCGTCGTCGTCGTATTCGTCGTGGTCGTCTCCATCGCCGTCTCCGTCGTCCGTATCGTCCATGCCATCGTCGTCGTCTCCGCCGTCGTCTTCGCCGTCGACGTCGTCGTCGTCGTCGTCGTTGTCGACGTCTCGATCGTCCATGTCGTCCATACCGATGTCGTCGTTGTCGCCGTCGTCGTCGTCGTCGTGGTCGTCGTCGTCGTGGTCGCAGTTTCCGTCGTCCATGTCGTCGATGCCGTCGTCGTCGTCGTCGTCGCCGTCGCCGTCGCCGTCGCCGTCGCCGTCGTCGTCGTCGTCGTCGTCGTCGTCGTCGTCGACGTTGTCGTCGTCGTCGTCGTCGTCGTCGTCGTCGTCGTCGTCGTCGTCGCCGTCTCCGTCGTCCGTGTCGTCCATGTCGTTCCTGCCGTCGTCGTCATCGTCGTCATCGTCGTCGTCGTCGTTGTGGTCGCCGTTTCCGTCGTCCGTGTCGTCCATGCCGTCGTCGTCGCCGTCGTGGTCGTCGTCGCCGTCGTCGTCGTCGTCGTCGTGGTCGCCGTTTCCGTCGTCCATCTCGTCCATGCCGTTGTCGTCGTCGTCGTTGCCGTCGTCGTCGTCGTCTCCGTCGTCGTCGTTCATGTTGTCCATGCCGTCGTCGTCGTCGTCGTCGTCGCCGCCGTCGTCGTCGTCGTCGTCGTGGTCGTCGTCGTCGTTGTCGTCGTCGTCGTCGTCGTCGTCGTCGTCTCGTTCTCCGTCGTCCATCTCGTCCATGCCGTCGTCGTCGTCGTCGTCGCCGTCTGCTCGGACCACACATGGGATGAGGCCTCTGCTCATGCTGGGGGGGGGGCAGGCTGGCTACCCCGGCGGCGCGCCGCCCGCCGCCGGCGCTAGCGCGGAGGCGCCGAGCAGGCGCGGGGGGCATGGGCGTCGGCGGCCCGGGCGTCCGTCGGCGTCGGCTTCCGCGTCCGTCGTCGTCGTCCGTCGGCAGCGCCGGCGTCGGCGTCGTGGGCGTCGTGGGCGTCGTGGGCGCGCGTCGTCACCGAAGGGTCGTCGTTGACCTCCGGCGCGGGGTTCGCGTGGCCGTGGCGGGCGCGGGGGCGAGGCCGTGCCCTCGTCACCGCTCGCGGCGCGGCGCTCGGCGCTCCCAGACACCCAGCGGCAGACACGTCAGCCGTTGATCGGGGGCGGCAAAGAGGGGGGTGATGACTAGGGGGGGGTGGATATCATGGCGGGGGCCATGATATTTCCCCAGATTTCATGGCGCCTCTTCTTATTTCATTACGTCCCTGGCCCCGCCCGCTGGGCCGCGTACATGCCGCCGGTCATTATTTGCACCCCCCCTCTTGGACGCCCGCCCCCCTCTTTGCCGCTCCCGAGTTGAGGGCATCTTGGTTTGAGTCGGGCCTGTTCCTCGACAAGAGGAATGTTCAAGAACAGTACGAAGATAGGCTGGGGACGATCTCTCGATTATTTTTGGAGTCTGTTTGCATGTTTTTGATTCGTTTCATTTTTCCCAACCCTCCTTGGTTGGGTATTCGTTTTGAATAGAGCAGTGTGGTCTCCACTCCCTCCTTCCTGTCCCGCCTCCCTCTTGCCTCCTCCTGTCTTGCCTGCGGGGGGCTGCGATCTGTGAAACCGTCGACAATTTCGAGGCTTGCTGGGGGTCCCAGCGCAGTGACGCCACGGGCAGACTCAAATTAGACCTCGCCATCCCTGGGGGGGGGCTGCGATCTGTGAAACTGTCGCCACTTTCGAGGCCTGCTGGGGGGCCCAGCACAGTGACGCCACAGGCAGACTCAAATTAGACCTCGCCAACTGGGGGGGGCTGCGATCTGTGAAACTGTCGCCACTTTCGAGGGCTGCTGGGGGGCCCAGCACAGTGACGCCACGCGCGGACCCAAATTAGACCTCGCCATCCCTGGGCGGCTGCGATCTGTGAAACTGTCGCCACTCTCGAGGCCTGCTGGGGGGCCCAGCACAGTGACGCCACGCGCGGACCCAAATTAGACCTCGCCGTCCCTGGGGAGCTGCGATCTGCGAAACTGTCGCCACTTTCGAGGCCTACTGGGGGGCCCAGCACAGTGACGCCACGCGCGGACCCAAATTAGACCTCGCCATCCCTGGGGAGCTGCGATCTGCGAAACTGTCGCCACTTTCGAGGGCTGCTCGGGGGCCCAGCACAGTGACGCCACGCGCGGACCCAAATTAGACCTCGCCATCCCTGGGGGGCTGCGATCTGCGAAATTGTCGCCACTTTCGAGGCCTGCTGGGGGGCCCAGCACAGTGACGCCACACGCAGATTCAAATTAGACCTCGCCATCCCTGGGGGGCTGCGACCTGCGAAACTGTAGCCGCTTTCGAGGGCTGCTGGTGGGTCCAGCGGAGTGAGGCACCGCGCGGATCTGAGCGAGACCTCGCCGTGCCAGGGGGGGCTGCGATCTGCGAAATTGTCGCCACTTTCGAGGGCTGCTGGTGGGTCCAGCGGAGTGAGGCACCGCGCGGATCAGAGCAAGACCTCGCCCTGCCTGGGGGGTTGCGATCTGCGAAATTGTCGCCACTTTCGAGGGCTGCTGGTGGGTCCAGCGGAGTGAGGCACCGCGCGGATCTGAGCAAGACCTCGCCGTGCCTGGGGGGCTGCGATCTGCGAAACCGTCGCCACTTTCGAGGGCTGCTGGTGGGTCCAGCGGAGTGAGGCACCGCGCGGATCTGAGCAAGACCTCGCCGTGCCTGGGGGGCTGCGATCTGCGAAACTGTCGCCACTTTCGAGGGCTGCTGGTGGGTCCTGCGGAGTGAGGCACCGCGCGGATCTGAGCAAGACCTCGCCGTGCCTGGGGGGGTGCGATTTGCCAAACTGTCGCCACTTTCGAGGGCTGCTGGTGGGTCCAGCGGAGTGAGGCACCAAGACGCGGATCTGCGCATTGTCGGAGGCTACTCGCCGTCTGAGCAAGACTGGTGCCTGGGGGGCTGCGATCTGCGACACTGTCGCCACTTTCGAGGGCTGCTGGTGGGTCCTGCAGCGTGAGGCACCGCGCGGATCTGAGCAAGACCTCGCCGTGCCTGGGGGGCTGCGATCTGCGAAACTGTCGCCACTTCCAAAGGCTGCTGGTGGGTCCAGCGGAGTGAGGCGCCACGCGGATCTGAGCAAGACCTCGCCGTGCCTGGGGGGCTGCGATCTGCGAAACTGTCGCCACTTTCGAGGGCTGCTGGTGGGTCCAGCGGAGTGAGGCACCGCGCGGATCTGAGCAAGACCTCGCCGTGCCTGGGGGGCTGCGATCTGCGAAACTGTCGCCACTTTCGAGGGCTGCTGGTGGGTCCAGCGGAGTGAGGCACCGCGCGGATCTGAGCAAGACCTCGCCGTGCCTGGGGGGCTGCGATCTGCGAAATGTCGCCACTTTCGAGGGCTGCTGGTGGGTCCAGCGGAGGCACCGCGCGGATCTGAGCAATACCTCACCGTGCCTGGGGGGCTGCGATCTGCAAACTTGTCGCCACTTTCGAGGGCTGCTGGTGGGTCCAGCGGAGTGAGGCACCGCGCGGATCTGAGCAAGACCTCGCCGTGCCTGGGGGGGCTGCGATCTGCGACACTGTCGCCACTTTCGAGGGCTGCTGGTGGGTCCAGCAGAGTGAGGCGCCGCGCGGATCTGATCAAGACCTCGCCGTGCCTGGGGGGCTGCGACCTGCGAAACTGTCGCCACTTTCGAGGGCTGCTGGTGGGTCCAGCAGAGTGAGGCACCGCGCGGATCTGAGCAAGACCTCGCCGTGCCTGGGGGGGCTGCGATCTGCGAAACTGTCGCCACTTTCGAGGGCTGCTGGTGGGTCCAGCGGAGTGAGCCACCGCGCGGATCTGATCAAGACCTCGCCGTGCCTGGGAGGGGCTGCGATCTGCGAAATTTGCGCCACTTTCGAGGGCTGCTGGTGGGTCCAGCGGAGTGAGGCGCAGCGCGGATCTGAGCAAGACCTCGCCGTGCCTGGAGGGGCTGCGATCTGCGAAATTGTCGCCACTTTCGAGGGCTGCTGGTGGGTCCAGCGGGGTCTGAGCAAGACCTCGCCGTGCCTGGGGGGCTGCGATCTGCAAAATTGTCGCCACTTTCGAGGGCTGCTGGTGGGTCCAGCGGAGTGAGGCGCCACGCGGATCTGAGCAAGACCTCGCCGTGCCTGGGGGGCTGCGATCTGCGAAACTGTCGCCACTTCCAAAGGCTGCTGGTGGGTCCAGCGGAGTGAGGCGCCACGCGGATCTGAGCAAGACCTCGCCGTGCCTGGGGGGCTGCGATCTGCGAAATTGTCGCCACTTTCGAGGGCTGCTGGTGGGTCCGGCGGAGTGAGGCACCGCGCGGATCTGAGCAAGACCTCGCCGTGCCTGGGGGGCTGCGATCTGCGAAATTGTCGCTACTTTCAAAGGCTGGTGGCGGGTCCAGCGGAGTGAGGCAGATCTGAGCGGGACCTCGCAATCCTTGAAGAGCTGAGAGCCTCAGGAATGCCGCTCGCAGAAATATATGAGACCATGTCACGTCATCACTTCCGTATAACGTCTCCCAAGCTACTCATGCCCCGCATTGCGCAGGGGTTGGGTACGTCGCCCCGGTAATTCTTCCAAAATCCGCCTCGAGGAGGACACGCCCGACCTAAATCTAGGCCTTTTCCGATGGGGTCCGAGTAGATGGTGTCGGAGGATCGCGCCGCATCGCCGATGCATCGACGATGCGGCTCGATGTGGAGCCCGAATTTCCCCATGCCGACGTCGCAGATGCATCGGCGATGCATCGCCGATGCATCGCCGATGCATTGGCGATGCGGCGCGATTTTTCGACCCCGTCTGCTCGGACACCATCTAGGAGGCCTCTAAAGTCGGATGTTCTGGCATCGCAGATCACAAACTACTTTCAGGCGCCCTGCTGCTTCAAGAGGTGATCGTGCTTCTACATACATACATACACATACATACATGTATGTAGGAAGATACATGCATATATGTGCCTGCCAAACACACACATATATCTATGTATAGAAACATGTCTATATACGTGGGGGCGCCCCCCTCAGATGTTGATTGGTGGTATCCTTTTCGAAGAAAGTGTGCAACGTCTTGCAAGCACAGGTAAATACCGCATTGCCGACGCACGGCGGCGAGTCTCACCCGTGTACGGAATCATGCGCCCGCAAGTTGAGGTTCCGCGATGCACGTATGGTAAAAAGGGGGAGGGATGAGGGGGCGTTAGAGAAGGGAAGGGATTAGTGATGCGGATCGCTGCCCCGTCCAAGCCGCAACATTGTAGGAGAACTCTGACAAAAACCATGCGAACCAGAACTCGCAACGTGCGGATGTCCCAGCACGCGGCGGTGGAGGTTTTGAAGCCAGTAAAAAAAACACTCGCGGTTTTTTCCCGACTCAACGCGAGTGGGTGGGAGGCATTGGACAGGTCGAGCAGCAAACCAACAAAAGGAACCCTCAACGGCCGCTCCAGGATTGTTCCTTGCTGGCTGGGTTGGCGAGTGTGTTTTCTTTATGCGGTCGACGCTAGGGGCGCGAGGATTGTCACGTTCTGTCGTGCGGCGGTAGATCCCCTGGCATCCATATCTTCCTCCGACAGAACGTCTCGCGAATTTCGTTGAGTGTGCTTCAGTGCCGCTGTGGCTTCAAATTTCGATGAAAGCGGCTCCTCCACAGTCCACTCCACGGTTGCGCCGACAGAATCGTGCCTTGCGGTCTGGGTTGGCGAGTGTGGTTTCGCATGCGGCTGACTCCGGGGGTGCGAGGATGGGCACGTTTCGTGCGGCAGCTGCTCCTGTGGCAGCGAGGCCCCCCTCTCCCGCCCATCCACACCAGCATGCGTTTTTTTTTGCTGGGTTGCTCCGGTGATGTTGTGGTCACAGTACCGACGGCAGCGGCTTCCCCCCATCCCATTCAGGTTGCG